AAGCAAATATGAAAAGAGGATGCAAAGAAGTCTAGAACCCAGTTCCAAACTGCAGCTCTCATCAGCATCTTCAGGCAGCCTTGGGCAAGTGGCCTCGGCTCTGGGAAGGGAGCTGCAAGAGACCACAAGGGTCTAGCACTGCACCCATCCCTGCAGTCACTGAGCAAAGCAGGTTCCCAGAGACTGCCTATGCCATGGGTCTCAGCAGATGCAAAATTAACTACAGCAGATTGACCAGGTACCCAGGAATCAGAGCTCCAACCCAATCCACTGAGGTCAAGAGCACACTCCAGATCCATCCGGAGCTCTGGGTCATACTAACCAAGGAGAGGCAGAGGAAACCCGGGTTTCAGGTGTGGTTTTGGTGAGCTTCCAAATTCCATGGCCACAAAGCTAGCTTTGCATCTTACCTTCGCCATCCCAAGCTCAGTCTCCCTCCTTACCTGGGACAGAATTGAACCCTACCTTCATAAAGGGTTGGGGAGTTAGAGATAGGAGCTAAGCAGGGGAGGCCCTGGGCATGGGGTGGCCCACACTCAGCTTGGTGAAAGAGGTTATTGTCTAATTATTAATGATGATGAGGACGGCTAGGAAAGCAAAGGCCACAAGGCTGACATTCCAACAGATTAACGGGTACCTCTGGCCTCCCTCAAAGACCCAAAGAACTATGTCAGGGGAGTGGACCTCAGGCTGCCTGCCTGCCTCTGGGGACCTCGAGGACATCAGGTCACCAGAGGACACTGAACCTTCTCCACTAAGAAACTGAAGAGGAGAAGCTGGGCTGAGGCCCTTAGACCTGAGACATGTGATCTGCCAGGAAAATGGCATGCTTGGCAGAATGTGAATGACAGCAGGGGACAGCTGGGCTAGGAGGTGGCATGTGAGCGAACAAGAGCCAACCAGAAGGAACAAAGACTTCCTGTTGATGCCAATGGGGTCATCCCCTGCCTCCCTCCCAAGTTATCACCAGGGTTGTGAGAGAGAACCACCAGTGGAGTTGTTAATTGTTCAAATCTGACAGGAGAAGGGCCAGAGCCCTTATTAAAGGCCCTAACCTCCAGCTCTGCCTGGTCATGAGATAACAAGGTGGAGCTCAGAATCTGGGGTTGGATAGGGCTGGGTTCCACCATCTGAACTGAGTTCTCCTCACCTGTAAAATGAGGATAACACCAGAACTCATCTCATAGCTCTGATGTGAGTGTTAAAGGAGATAAGGTAAGTTCTGAGCTAAGTGTCCTGCTAGAAAAGACCAGGCAAATGCCAGACAAAGCAAAAGGAAACAATTTTCACTCATATTTACATCCCATATAGGAATGAACTCCCCAGTCCCTAAGGTGTATGAGAATGGGGAGAAGCTGGGGCCAAAGCTATTGTCCCCAAGGGCTACTGGCAGATCTCCTAGAAGCTAGGGCCCCCTTGAGAAGTGCAGTCCCTAGCACCCTAACCACTGCTTCCAGTGAGAAGCCAGTGTGTCAGGGCATGGGAACAACCATGCTGCCATCTGAAGGCAAGCTAGACAAAGGTGGCCAGGAGCCTCCCTGTGCTTCAGTGGGTGTCCATTTGGACTTCAAGCATCATATCACCCAGATGCTATGCTCTGAACCCAGAGAGGGGAACTATTCTCCAGAGGTCAGCCTAAGTCCTTCTGGATAAACCTTCATTCTGCACAGTGAATTGGGGTTGGGGAGAGAGGTCCTCTAGGAGCCTCCTCCTGAGGTCCACAGACAAACTCCAGCAGCTCCTAAAGGGACAGAGGCCCAAGTAGGGTTGGGGCATACAGCAGCCAAGACAAGGAGATGAATCTGGGGTGTTAGGAAAACCTGACCATGTCAGGAATAAAGCAAGGACCAAATCTCCAGCACCCAGCAATGGCCAACATGGGGCTGGACCCTGGCATGACATGGATGCAGCGAAAAGCCCAGCCCTCCCCAGGCATTGCTGTGGGCCTCCCAGGAGAGTTCTTAGCTCATGGGGCAATAGAACAGGATCACCTTCCCTTGACAGATGAGGAGACCAAAGCCCTGAGATGGACCCAGGGTTACCACCAAGCTCATTCACAGTAGAAATGGGAGTAGAGCTCTGTCACCCCCTGATCGATCCATTGCTCTACCCCTAGAAAAGGTCCTGTGCTTCAGAGTACTCTAAAAAGTCAGTGTCCCCAGCCAACTGGGGCTCAGTGAGGCCTGGGAGCAGGTGAGATTCGTCTCTATTTGCCCTGCAGCCAGGCTGAAGCCCAGAACATAGCAGATGCTAGAAACACATTGAATGAAGGGAAGTTTATCAGGGACCAAGGGATGCTCTGTTTCTCTTAGGAAGTTGGTCTTGATTCTGTTACCAGTAAGTGGGGAGCAGGGCACCTTGACTGGTGAGACTCTTCCTAGGATAAGCTCTCTCCCAAATCTACAGGCCAGATCCAGCCTTCAAATGGCCCACAGGCATGAGGCACCATATGGAATGCTCAGATGATCCCACCATCCAAAGGTCACTGCTTCCACCCAACCACAGGTGCTACCCCACCCATACTTCAGATACGGAAACTGAGGCCCCATAGGGAAGATCCTTGCTTAGTGTCACACAATGGGCAAACCCAGAAGGCTGCAGACACTGTCCCTCCGTCACAGCCATACTAGGAGCAGCATCCTGCTATCAGGTGGGCAGCAAGCCCCCCTGCCCCCAGCCCAGGAGGTAATGACCTAGCCAATACCAGTCCCCCAGCCTGGCCATCTGTGGACCCTTACTACCAGCTCCTCCGTGCTCTTTCCTATTTCTGAACACACAGCCTGCGTTAAGCTCCTCTTCCCTCCCTATTAACAGCAAAGGAAATGGAAGAGGGTAAGGGCAGATCCAGGGGCTGCTACCAGGAGGGGACCAAATCCTAACCATCCCCAGACTAGAACCAAGGTCAGAAGTGACAGGTTCAAGGCACTGGTGTAGCTTCTTAGTAAGAGACCTGCCCTCAGGAAGGGGCATGGCTGGGGCAGGGGCAAGGGTTGTGGGTCAGTGGAAGATGGGCAAGGGTCCCCCAGTCACCCCACACCATGACCTACAGCTCTGACCCCACCCACAACTGGTCACTACCGAAGGCCCCTTATCAGGCACAAACTGCTGTTCCCTGCTCTCCCCCACGCAGAATGAACTCACTCTGCACCACCAAAGACTCTTTCCTTTTCCTTCTCTTTGCACAGACTGTTCCTTCCGGCCTGGAAAGGACAACAGTTCACACCTAACTGTAGCCTGAGTCCCAGACAAAGGCTTCCAGCTTTCCAGGCAGGACCCTGTCACCACAATCACAATCATCATTTCTCACAAGAGGTCACTGAGGCTTAGAGAAGCAACTTGCTGAAAGATGGCTTTCTGTAGAGGTAGGACTGGAATCCAGGGCTGATTCAATCACTCCAGGAACTCTTCCTGGATTTCTCCCACTAGAACTTCTGTCAGGGCTGGTCTCCCCATGCTCAGCAGACTTCAAGTTCCTTTATGGTTAGGACACAAAGCTGGGCTCCAGCACATGGTGGAAGCTGGGAACCAAGACTCAGTCTAACCTATTGAACCAATCATTCCCTGTCCTCATTAGCTGAACAGGAGGGAGAGTTCTTGTCCTCTCTGTGCTTCTAACAGGGCACACAGAACTGGGTCAAGGTGGAGAGAGGGGACTGTCATGCAAGGCACTTGAGGGAAAGCGAAGGGTTAGCACACAAGAGGCCCTTGTGGGGTGGAGAGAGCACCCATGATTGGACATTTGTCCCATGTCCATTCTCATAGTAGAAACCTATCTTGATGAATCCTCCATCTACAGCCAAGAAAACTGAGGTTCACGGTTACAAATTTGAGCCCAGGTATCTGGTCCTGTGGGAGTTGGAACTAGCCAGAGGCTATTTCAGCAAAGGCAAAAGTGTAGAGGGGATCATATGCTTTGGGAAACCCTAAGGCTTAACTCCCAGCACATACCTGTGAGCCTCTACTTGAATTCTGCACACAGGGAACTCACTATTTTCTAAAGAAACCCTGCTTGGCTCTGACTGTGGGAAAAGTCTTCTCCAATCTTGGGGGTGAGGGAGGAAATGAATGCATATGGTCTGCCTGCTTCATTGGCCCTGATAAGAACACTGAAGTTCAGGGGCAACTCACATACCAACACCCAGTCAGGTAAGAGTTTGATCTATCCAGGCTTGAGGGATTCTGTGTATGGGATGGTCAGGCTGGGCCAGGGCCAGGCTTCCCATGTCCCAGATAACCCCATGGTGTAAATTGGTCCAGCTGCATCTTCATGGACACTCCAGTCTCCCCAAAGCCCTTGGCAAGGCTTCAGTGTCTTCCAGGTCAGAGAAGGAAGTTCTTGCTCTTACTAGTCTGCCCAAAACAGCCCCCAGAATTCACAGCAGCTCCAGCCAGCTGAGGACCTTGTTACTAGAATCTGGAAAAGCAGCACATGCCTCCCTCTCGCCTTCATCCTCCCTCCCCATCCTTAAACAGGCACCTTTTCCAAGGGCCACTTGAGTTTGAAAGAGACCCTTCCAAGGACCACGCCAAGGGGCATCCCAGATCCCTACAGGCATGGCTCCCTCCCTGAGGTCTACCCACCCTGTCCCGCCACGCAAAAGCTGGGAGAGCCATCCAGAACAGAAGGTAGGCTAAACTTGAATCCAAGACAGTGAAGCAAGTTAAGATCCACCTCGACTACTTTATGGCCAGGCTGCTGACTTAGACTGAGGTACAGTGAGACGGGAGGTGTCTGAGTGGTGAGGAAACTGATTTCAGGCCCTCTTCTCCTTGCTCCTGGTAAACAGGAGACACTAGACTCTCCGCTTTCCCGGGTCGGAGGACTATCTGGACAAGCTGGGGCAATGAGGGTCAGTCACAGGAACCACAGATAAAGGGTCCTAGTCAAGAGACTCAGGCGCATCACCTGTGAGCATCGCTGGTGCCTGGAGTCCCAGGGCATACAGCGGTGAGGCGGTGGTACCGAGGGACTAAAGGTCTGGGGTCGGGGTGGCGCCTACCCCTGGTGGGCCGGGTCCGGCTGCGGGAGCGGCTCCTCTGTCGCTGCAGCCGGGGCCGCCGCAGCAGCCGGTAGTAGTAGCTCGGCCTCCCGGTGCTCTTCCTGGGGTTGCCGCCCGCAGACATGCTGCCGCCCGCCGGGCACCGGGCCGAGCCTGGGAGCTCACACCGGCCCCATCGGCCGCTCCGGACCGCCCGGCGGGCGCCCAGCGCTCTCCCGCGCTCCGGTGCAGCGGACGCAGAGGCCAAGGCTGCCCCACAAAGTCGCCCAAACTCCTCCTCCGCCTTCCCGGCCCCGCCCCCAGCAGCCGGCCCCCTCCACGGGGCCTGGGACCCGGAGGCCGAGCTGGCACCAGCCAGAGAGTCAGTGCGGGTGAAATCCCGGCCTGGAGTCGCCAGGGCGAGGCGGCCCGGAGTGTCGCCGACCCCCGAGGGACCCTAGGACTGTCCTGTCCCGGATATCTGTGCCGGCGGCTCCATGTCCGACCTGGGGGTCCCGGGGCACCCCATCGCGCGGACAGGTGCAGTGGTGCACATCTGCATGTGCACATCTGCATGTGCGTGTCTCCAAGCCTGGGCAGGATGGCCACCAAGACCAGGCACGTGCAATTAGGGTTCGACGGAGGAGGACAGTTTACCAAGCACTGCGACACCAGACCAGAGTGTACACACAACTCTGTAAGGACCCCCGTAGTCAAGTTGAAAGTCCTCCCAGTTATCTTAAGATATCTGACTCTTTACATTTAAAAGACTGTCCCCACTAATACAAATATTACTTTATGTGATTAAGGTTATGGTGTGTATTTCAAGCACCCATATAAAACATAAGCTACACTCTGAATCCAGAGGGCTTTGCCAAACCATTTTGCCCTCTCCCCCAAATAAGCCAGGTGAATGCTTGAGTTCTTCCTCTGATTCTACATTTTCAGCAGCTCCAGCAGGCCTGGGGGCAGAATGATCCCTACCCCATTATGGAGAATAGAAAGTGGGGCTGGGATAATGGATGCATCAACTGCCTCCACTTCGATAGACTGAAATACTTTCTCCAAGTCATTCTCCAGTTGAAGAAGCTCCCAGGGATCCATGGAGCCTCACCGCTACAAGCATCCTTCTTCCGACTTTGAGGTACCAGTCATGTAGCACTAATCAAAGCACCTGCAGCCTCACCCGAGCCCCCCACTCCCCCCCCAACACACACACACACACACACACACACACACACACACACACACACCAGACCTCAGTTCTCATCTTTCTATGGCTAGTAAGGACCAGTCTTTTTCTGCCTGCCTCCTTCCCTCCACCTCTTAGGGCACACCTCTTCTGGGGGTTCTTGACACTCCTGGCTCTCAGTGATCTCCCTTCCTCATCCCCATTTCTTGTCCCATAGTAGCATTAATCTTTTTAAGTTATTAAGCCCATACCACCTACCAGACCTCCATCACCTCAAGAACAGAAATGCAAACTGAGGCCCTGAAAGGCAGAGAGAGAGGTTTTTCTCATCTCAGTCACACAGAAAGTGCAAGGGCAGGTGGCTTTAGCCTGAGACTACATACGTGCACTCTTAGGGGAAGTGGGGTGGGTTAGACACAGCTTGTGTTTGAGACTGTCTGGATGTCTTCCTCCAGAGCTAAAGTTGGGCCTGGGGCTGGGGGTGAGCAGCTTAGGCAGGAATCCAGGCCAGGTTTTTCTCCTCACAGGGGAAGCCCCCCTCCCAGGCTCCACAGTCCAGGAGGGAGGGCCCTCCTGGTCCAAGGGGGGGGGGCTGGATCACAGCTGGAAGCCAGGCACCATCCCCAGACCTGGGGGATGGGGAGGGGTGGGAAGGGCAGTTCTCCAAACCCAGCTGCAGAGTCTACAGCCATCCACTCTTCTGGTCCCTCTTCCCAGAACATTCTTCAGTCCCACAGGAAACTAGGGAACAGAGGTATCCTCCTGGAGCCAGGCCCTAGGAGCATCTTCCAGGCCCCTACAAACTGCACCCATCACTGCTTCCAGGGCCAAGCCCCCAACCCTGCAGAACACCTCCCACAAAGGTGGGTTCTGAACTACACTGCCATACCTTAGCACTTCTGAGTTGAATAATATCCACTGCCAAGCCCCCTAGGTTTAGGGGTTGGGTGGCTCCACCCCTGAAATCCTTCAGCCAGGAGTTCATCTGGCCCCACAGTTTATTTCCCAAAGCTTTCCTGCAGGCATGTGCTGATCCTTGGAGAAGGCTTGGCCTGGGCCCTAACAGGTAAACTTTAGGGGTGTGTGTGGTGACCCTGGAGGGGCAGCCCACAACTTAAGACCTCATCTGTACACAGTGGGGTTCCAAAAGTCTGGTATGAGCTCTATTTCAGCCTCTCAGTACCTCTGTGCCTCATTTCCTGGCCTATAAGGAGACACTATGACCCTCCCACCAGCTGCCTAGTGGAGGGAATAGGGTCAGCTGGTTAACTGGAAGAAAAGTGTGGAATTGCTGGCCTAGGGACCAGAGTATTCTATGCTAACTACCCAAGCCCAACAGCTCTACAGGCCCCTTGTGGGTGTCAGGTAGATTTGAGCTGGGTGCTGAGTAGGAAGTAGGTAAGACAGAAGCTAAGAGAAGGGAAGGGCCCAGCTCCTTCAGCTCCCCCTGGTCTGGACCCTGGGGCCTGCAGGCAGACAAAGCCTGATTCCAGCACCCCAGCAGAGCATCTGGAATCAATCCTGCAGGCTGCCCCACCTCCTCTCTCTGAGCAGACACCCCTGTGGCCTCTTCCTCTCTCAACAGGAGCAGCCCCCCCAGTCAGAGACTGGGCTGGGGGAAGGGCACCTGGGACTGGCCGACCGGCACACCACACCCACCACTAACCATGGAAGCCTTTTGTGATTACCTCAGACACATAGGCTTCCCTGACCCTGAAAGGGAGTCTGGTCACCAACAGGGGTAAAAGTCTAGACTTGTATTCCTACCTGGCCCACCTTCAAAGGGGATCCTGAGTAGAGAAGGTCCTGAGCCCCCTCAGTAAGTGCCAGGTTGGGAACAAGGCTCCCCAAAGCAGATCTCAGCCAGCCCCCACCACTACCTTCACTCTCCCTCAAAAGATCCACCAGATGGGCTCCAGGAGTAAAGGTGCTTGCTGCCAAACCTGACAGCCTGAATCTGATCCCTGGAACCCACGTGGTAGAAAGAGAAAACTGACTGGGAAAAGTTGTCCATTTACCTTCACATATATGGTGTGACATACAAGGGCCCACACATACCTACACACATACAATAAATAAATTAATTAATTAATTAATGTTTTTTTAAAAACCAAAGGAATAAGCCCTCCAAATTATACTGCTAGCAGATCAAGTTCATCACAAAGCAGCTTTACCTCTGCCTCCCACCCCACTTTTTTCCCTCCCTGCCATACGGCCCTTGCCACCTGATAGTGCCCTGTTGGTAGACCAGCTGCCACCAGGCTCTGAGGAAGACCTGGGAGAGATGGACCCAAAGAATCCCCCTCTTGGTAGAAAACCAATAGCAAATAGAATTCCACCCAAAAGGAAGGAAGGGGTAAGTGGCCTTGGAGCTGGGCACCAGATCAGGGCCAGCTTCAGCCCCAGGCAGTCTTCAGTCTTGCTGCCACATTAAATTTGAAGGGGAAGGGGGGGGCGGCATTTGGTTAAAATTACCTTCCAAAGGCCTGACAATGCCAATGGAGCACCAGGACAAGTCACCCAATGCTACAGCTGAGTGCATGGTTAAAAGTTCTGGCCCTCACTGAGGCATCATTTTGCAAGGGAGGAAACACCACCACCTAGAGAGAGCCAGCTGTCTTCAAACACCAACCTCACATAGGTGGGGTTACAGCCAGGTGGGGGGAGCGCAGGAGCAGAGTAGAGTCTAACTTAGGGCCTGGTAGACTTTGGATTTAATATTGTGGGAACTGTCCTGTGTTAGCATGCACCTAGTGCAAATCCTCCTCTCAGCATTCCGTGAACATTAAATCATTCTTTTTTCCCATGACCCTAGCAGACAGGTGGCTCTTTGTTTTTACAAAACAAGATTAGAGACCTTGGAGACCAGAGAGAGTAAGTTCCCTAAGGTCACAGGACTTGTACTAGGAATCAGAGGAATTGAACCCAGGGGACTGGAGAGAGCAAAGGACTTAATGTTGGGTAGGACTTTATGTACAGATGGAAACAGGGCAACAGTCTAGAACTTTCCTTAAGAGCCAACTTTTTCAAAGAACAAGAGGAGATTGGGGGAGGTGTGAGTCTGTGACAGCGCCCACCCCAGGCCTCACACAATGGGTGTCTGGAAGACTCAGACCTGTCAGGTTTCCTGTCTGGACCAGAGTGGGCAGCAGTGGAGAGGGGAAGTCCCTAGGCAGGCAGTCCTGTACACATCCGCCTCCCAGGCCAGGCTCTTCAGAGCCCTGGTCAAGGGTATGGAGGAGGTGCCTGAGTACTCATGGTTAAGGTCACAGCCTCTGCCCAGGAGGCTGTCTGTCTGGCAGGCAATGACAGCTTCCTACATCCACTGTTCATCCAGGAATAAGGCTGGACCAACAGCCAGATCTTTACTGGGAACATGAATGGGAGAGGTCAGATCCACAAAGTGGGAGGCACCCCAAGAAGTCCTACCCGAGCATCCTTAACTTTCCAGGCACCCACTGTGTCCCCTCATTTCCTTCCCCAAAACCACCCACAAATTTACTGACATCCTTTGCAGAAAATGGCTGAAGCAAGGCAGAGATGACCCCAGGCTTGGATGGCCCCGCCCTTCTCAGTACAAACGGAACTGGAGACCAGTCAGGCGTGGACGTTTGAACACACACAGATAGCCTGCCTTGGGGACTGTTGAGTACTTTTCAAAACAAGTCACCTAAAGCTGGGCTGGGGGTGGGGTCCATCAGAGGAGAGGCCCCAGGTCTAACCAGAACACACTGGCAGGGTGTGGGGCCCCTGTGTGCTATCTCTGGGTTTAGTGGCGATAAATGTAGCTCTATGGAGCCCAACCCCCTGAGGTTCCGTAGAGATCTAGAAACTTTCCCCAGGCCCTAAACTAATACCTAAGGTTCACACACACCTCCACCCCACCTCCTGTTACCCCCATCCCTGCCCATGCCTACAGTCTAGAAACTCAGACATCTCTCTCATTTGTGTCA